CAACTTCCCCCCAACTACCTCCTTGACGACAACAACCAATTCGATTACACCTGCGACGACACTACCCCCGATAACCCCAACTTCCACACCCTCGTCCAGATCGTTTCCCGCGAAGGGGAAATCCCCCGTTCCTTCCGATCCGCCGACATCATGCCCTTCTCCGACCTTCCCTACGAGGACGTTTTCCTCTTCCTTACCCAACTCCAGAACTCTTTCAAGCTCCACAACATGCCCCTTGTCCACTGGCTTCCCATTGCCACCTCCCGCCTCCTCGACAATGCCGCCAAATGGTGGATGGTTGAAGTGAGCAACCGCCGTGCCTCCGGAGGACCACGTCACTCCTTCCTCCAATGGGCCAACCTTCTCACTGCCACCTTCCGCCCCCAGAAAACCATCGATGACTACCTTTAACAATTTTGCCACCTGCGCTAGACCAGTCCCACGGACCGCTTTGTCCAATACATCCGCTCCCTCCGCCATCAGCTCCCCACCACCGTCATTCCCGACTTTGCATTCATCTCCCTCATCAAGCGAGTATGCCACAAAGATCTTGCAACCGCCCTCGCCCACGAACCTGACATGCCCCTTGCTGACCTCCTCTCTCGCATGCTTCACCATGATCGACTCCTCCACCCCCATCACCAGTCCTCGCCCACTCCCTCCCGCCCCCGCTTCTTCCATAACATACCCTGGCGACACCACTCCACCCACCTACGATGACGACTTCAACACTGCCTCTCTTGACCCTTCCCAATTCCCCATTAAGGACCTCCAGGCCGCCCACCTTATGCGGATGGAACGCCAGGATTGTGCCTCCCGACCACCTTCTTCCTCTCCCCCCGCCGTCTCCAAAAATTTACACCCGCAGATATCATATACCTCCAGGAACACAACGGGTGTTTTCGCTGCCACCAGTTAGGTCACCAACAGACCAACTGCCCCAACGCTAGCCGCTTTACTTGACAGGCCCCTCGCTCCGCGGGACCCGGCCCTTCTACTCCCACTTTTTCCTCCACCGCGACAGTCGGACCCTCCTCCACCTTAACACTGTCCCCCTGTCTCTTGCAATCCTCCCCTGACATCGACCACTTGTCTGTCGGCTCTCCCATCGATGACGATCTCTCCTCCATCGGTGGCCCACTTGGCATCGACTATCCGTCTGCCTACCCCCCTTTCGGTACGCACATCCCATCGAACGACTCCCAGGCGACGCAGTCTATTCCGCTTGCCCCACTCCCGGCAACGTCTACTATCCCGTCGGTCGAGCTTCCCACTTGCACCTGCTCTTCTACTCTAATCCCTAACCCCTTCTCTACCACCTTCTCCGATCTCGTTGAGCAACAAGCACGACACGATCAGCTTGTTAGATTAGGCTTGGAACAACGCCGCCTCAATACCATGATCTTTTCTGCTTGTGCCGGAACTGCACAATTCCAGCTCAAGTTTATCGCCGTCTCCCTTGGCGCATCGACGGTGAAGTTCTGGGCCCTCCTTGATATTGGTACCACCGGCAACTTCATCACCAAAGCCTGTGTCCGCAAAGCCGGCCTCTCTTCCACCGGCTATGACTCCCCGATCACCATCCAACTAGGGGATAAGGACTTAGCCATCGTTGTGGATCGCACTGTCCCCGAGACCCTAATGACTGTCGGTCCTCTTTGCAGTCAGGTCTCCTTCGATGTCATGCACCTCATGTGCGACATCGTCTTGGGGACTCCATGGTTTGACCGTTTCATGCCCTACTCCTTTGACCCCTCCTTCGTCCGACTCACCCGCCTTCCTGATTCCCCTCTTGATATCCCTTACCTTCTCCCCCCTTCTACCCCACCCCCTGTCTCCCCTCACCAGTTCCTTCACATGTCTCGTGAACACCCCGACTCTGCTTAATATTGTCTTGTTATCAACCACGAGTGTCCCAAGAACTTGCTTCCAACGGACAAACCCTACCAAGAACCGCTTTCCGATCCTCACATCACCGCTCTCCTCTCTAAATTCAAGGACGTCTTCCCCGAGTCCTTGCTCGCCGGTTTACCTCCCGATTGAGGTGTATCCCACACCATTTATCTCGAGCCCGGCCATTCTCCTCCTTGCCGCCCTTTGTACCAACTCTTCGTCCCCGAGACCGAAGAAATGAAGCGCCAACTTAATGAACTCCTTGAAAAAGGATTCATTAAGCGTAGCTCCTCCCCCTTTGGAACCAATTGTCTCTTCGTCAAGAAGAACGACACCTAGGAACTCCGCATGTGCACAGACTACCGCGCCTTGAACCGGATCACGATCAAGAACACGTACCCACTCCCCCAAATATCTGAACTTCTTGATCGCCTCCGTGGAACCAAATATTTCACCAAGATCGACCTCCACAGTGGCTTCCTCCAGATCCGTATCCGCGAGGAGGACACCCACAAGACCGCATATTCCACTCTCGGTTCAAGCACTACGAGTTCCTCGTAATGCCTTTCGGACTCACCAATGCCCCTGCTACATTCTAGTCCACCATGAACCACATCTTTCGTGATCTCCTCGAAGTCTGTGTCGTCGTGTACCTTGATGACATCCTCATCTTTAGGCCCACCTTCGAGTCCCACTTTCAGCACATTCGCCAAGTCCTCTCGATCCTCTGAGAGCAAAAATTCTACTCCAAGCTCAGCAAATGTACGTTTGCCGCTTCGAGCGTCGAATACCTTGGCCATATTGTCTCCGCTGAAGGCATCCGTATGGACCTCTTGAAGGTCACAACCCTCGTCGAGTACCCCCCGCCCAAGACCCTCCTCCAACTCCGTTCCTTACTCGGCTTTGCCAATTATTACCGCCCGTTCATTCGCAACTTTTCCGAGATCTCTTACCCTCTCAACGAACTCACATGCAAGGACGAGCCCTTCAATATAACGATCGCCACCAACACACTTTCGACTTCCTCAAGCAAACCATCACCACGACCCCTGTCCTCAAAATCGCAGACCCCACTTGCCATTTCTATGTCACCACTGATGCCCTCGACTTCGTCATTGGAGCTATACTGTCCCAATATTCCTCCCGCGACACCGACGAGACCCCCTCCATCAAGGACTTGCCCACTCACCCCGGGGTTCCAACCGGCGAATACCCCATCGCCTTTGCAAACAAGAAGTTCCTTCCCGCAGAAATGAATTACCCCTCAAACGAGAAGGAACTCATCGTCGTGATTCACGCTGTCGAGCGCATCGGTCCCGCATGGGGACCCTCCCGGCCGCGTCATATTGTCTTATGTACCCAAATGATCTGCGCTTTCTTCCACTATACTTGCGCATCCCTGTTCCAGTGACAAGTGGAACCCAAAGTACAATAGGGGAAAGCGCTCTCAGATTTTTTTGAGAAAGAGATGACATGATGTGTTTTTGCACAGATGGAATGATGATGAGTGGAAAGGTCACAATCAAAGTTGTGTCTTCTGTGTGACTCGAAAAAGAGAGAGGAAAGCCCAGTGGCCGATTGGACTTTCTTAAAAGATTGAAATTTGTGAGAGCACTCAAAGGAGTTGCTATAATGATGATGAAATTTTTTGTGTGTATGTAAAGTCTGACGAGGAAAGACCAATATTTTTTTGTGAGAATAATGGATGGAAATTTCTGACAATTATGGTGGAACTTTGGAAATATTTTGAGAGATGTCCCTAAAAAGACGTGTGACCTCACCTACTGTTGATCAAAGTGAGGGAGGCACGACCCTGTGGAATTACCGAGGAATTGGTTGATTATTGAGAAAGGCACTATCCGTCCACGTAGTCCCGTGGGCAGTTGGTATGTGATCCTTTGTTTATTCTGAAAGATTGGAAGAAACTGCCAGACCACAATGAGGTCAGTCTAAGGGACATATGTTGTGAGGCCAAGCTAAGGGACTATACTTAGCATCGCTGGAACTGTAGAACCTAACTCCCAGCGAGGGCCGCTGACCGGCACAACCTGGCAGCGGGACCATGGCTTACCAAACGTTAAGTCTTGAAGGGTCGGCCGCCCGGAGAGGCTTAGCTAGAGGGAAAGTCATTGGGGTTGATTAAGTCAAGAGTCGGGACCTTTCAGGGTACCAAGATAGGAACAATTGCTTATCGTTGCCTAACCAACGAGGGCACCATCGCTACATAACAACGTGGTGGGCCGTGGATTCGGCGTGATCGACCGTTCCATGGTGGGCCAAGATTGAGACCTGAAGCCGCCTGTGTTAGACTTTAGGATGGGTGTTCATTATGATTGACTATCTGAGATGGTAGACATTACCATTTGGGGGCTAAAGGTGCCCCGGATTTTGAGAGGTCTCGGTTAAGGCCCGCGTCCTAAGTTATGACCCCGTACGCGAGACGATGACTAAACATGACACCCAACGGTGAACCGGCAGATGTCTACGACGAAGGGAGAGGACTATCAACCTACTACCTGGGAGCGGGTATTATGCTATAGTACGGAACAAAGTATCCCCTAACTCCGAGGCCAGGACGTGGGAGACCCAGGTTGAAACCTTGACAGAGGAACGCCGTGACGGGAACAAATTGATAAGAATACCTCGAACGGAGTCGAGCCGGTGAATCGAAATGGTTACTTCCTCGTCAGCAAAATGTGATTGTGGTTATAACTTTGATTGCCCGACGTGACGGGGACGTCGCTTAATAAGGTCCGAAAAACTGTCGACCCGAACACCCTTACAAGGGTATTTGGGCACATATTTGCAGCTTACAGGAAGAACGAGCCTGATGATATCTAGGGGCACGTCCCATTTGTGTTGATTACAGAGTGTGTGAGCGTGCACTTTGCGGGCACGCGTTAGCCGGACCGAACCTTGATCGAGGAAGCCCATGAGGCACCGGTAGGACGAGTAAGTGCCACGCTAGGAAGTCTGAGGCGGTCGCTGCCTCGCACGCACGGGCGAAGTTACAGACGACGTCACGTTGATCAGGTAAGGCTGGGACTAGAAGGGAATGTTGCCCGACTTGTTGAAAGTCGGCACTTTGGGGACCACACCATGTGACGGTGCGTGGGCACTAAGCTTAACAGTGTACTATCGGAGGTCGGAATGGTCAGAAAGGGGGGACGGGCTAGGCTTAGTAGGGGCAACAACCGGGTTTTTTTCGGCAAAGAGGCGGTAAAAGGTCGTTCGTGGCAGGCTAGGAGAGCCCTGGGCCGCGGCCAAGGCATGACAAGGCCTCGGGTGTCGGGAGATAAGCCAAGCGGCGGCCTTGGCACACCCTTGTAGGCCTGGGCAGGCCGCCGTTACTCTTCATATGGCGGGCCGCGCCTGTTATATCTAGGCTTGGGCTTAGCCCTATAGGTTACGTCACTGAGTTTTTACCAGGTGGATCCCGGGATCGAGGCCAGCAGCGGGCAGCGGAGCAGCGGAGGAGCGAACTTGGAGCGAATCGAGGGGTTGAGGGTCCCGCGGGACTATCCTCTTTGGTTTTGCTGAGGGGAGTCCGCCGCGGGCCCGGGAGAAAGGACCCCCGTTCGTTTTTTATTATTATTAAATTTTATCTCTGAGTTTTTAAAAGTTTCATTTCTTATTTTTCCTATTTTTATTTTTCTAGTTGGGACGGGTTCCGGTACTGGTACCAGGACCGGTCGTGGCCCCTAGAGTCTTGTTCAGTGGATACACCACTGAACTGATTGAGATACAGACCTGAGTCCGAGACCACCAAGGCAGCCGACCCGTCGATCCTGGGTCCCTGCACAAGGTACAGTCCTTCGGGACATCCGTTAAAATTGGAACGATACAGAGAAGATTAGC